TTATTTTCCCTTATTTTCTTACCTTTCTGTACTTATTTTAATCTCCGATTTGTGCTTAATTGTTGATATTCTGCACTGTTTTCTAATTGGGCTTTAATTGGACCAGTAATTCATATTTTAACTAATTTGAATTTTCTAAATCTAATTATTCCAATTTTTATTTTCAGGGCAGTTTAATAATTATCTAGGCTTGGAATTAAATTCTGGACTACAAGTGGAGCTGCCACATCATCTGCCACTTCATCTGCCATGTCACTACTGCACCATTTTCCACCTCAGCATTCATTTTTAGTTCTTAGGCTATTTTGTTGAACTTGGGTCAGACTTGTATTTTATTGGGCCCAATTCGTTTTTGCTCATAGGACCCTAGGGTAGGGCTGACTTGGCAACCACTAGATGAGGGGTCTGATGTGACTACGTGAACAGTAGCCTCTCTTTGGTTATTTTTTACGTTTTCTCTCTTGTAGCCACCTCTTACATTTTTGGCTTCCCTGTTCTGCTTCCTTCACGTTTTCTTTAGTTTTTCTGGTTGTAATGTGAGACTCCATTTTCATTTTGAATATAGATTGCTCATCTCATTTCGTTTTCCTTCTCTGCCCTGCATTTTCGTTTCCCTTCTCTGCCTAGCATTTCTGTTTCATTTCTGTATTTTAATGGAAGGCTAAAAACCCCTGGGTTGGCTTCTTGTTGTGGATTGTAATCTCTGTTTGAGGTTGGGTTTGTGTGTTTATCTCTGTTCTGCTTTGTTCTTCTTCATTTAACCTCTGTATCAATGTGCCCATGCTTAATGGGCTGTGGTCACTAAATTAGGTCAAATTTTGTAGTCTTAATGTCCAAGTCTTTTCCTACTAATTGATGAGTCAATGCTTGATCCTTAAGCAAGGATTTGAGGCCACTTCCAGCACAGAATGTTTAATGAAAGAAAACAAGACAAGCAACAAAAGCACAATTTATAAAGCTTATACCAAAAAGCGAAGAGAAAAGTGTTTATGACAAGACTCAAAGATATCCAACAAAGAAAGCTGAAAAATAAGACTCCAATGAAAGCTAGCACTCAGTTAGGAAAGCTCCTAGATAGGTACTAGAGTAGATTAACAAAACAAAATTTTTTTTGAAGGAATTTGAACAAGTACACACAAAATAGTAGTCTAAAGAATTTTGAGGAATCAAGTGAATTTTCTTGTTTTGTTCTTCTCGGCTTTTTCCTTCTATAATTTCTTTTTTTTTATACTTTTCTTTTCCTAAATTCAAATTGATATTCCAGAGAAGACACTTGCTTTTTGTTTTCAAATTTTTCACCATTCCAAAGTATTAAAATCAAGACTACTAGATAGACAAATTTCAAGTGAAATTGATGTAACTAGTGCACTAGTTTTTAGGTTTTGATTGGATTCTTTTGTTCACCTTTTTTTTTATAACTATTTTGAAACATCATGCTCTGTTTTCCAGCAAGATCTATCGAGAGTAGTAGTTGTCACTCCTGTTGGGGGCTTAGGATCCCTCGTTTCTTTGTACCATCCTGACAAATCCCCATGATCTCGGGTGGATTATGTATTGGGGATGTCATGAGATGGATGCCACGACCGGTTGTCACTTCTGAGCTCGGCAGTTTCCTTTCTCAAGACCGACAACTCGTGGGCATCCTTTTCTTGGAGCCTTTTGAGTTCCATCATTTCGGCCTTTAGTTGCTCGATGGCCGACGACGGGTTAAGTTGTTGAGACCGGTCCACATACGATTCTTCCATTCCATCCTCATTCTGATTAGTTTGTCGCCTGGTGGTGTCTCGGGGCATCCCGAAAGGGTAATCGGTTGCGTTCTCCTGTTGACTCCTTGTGGTTACCATCTTGCTTCAGGGTCGAGAACCGTTCTGGTTTCGGCCCCACGGTGGGCGCCAAAATGTTCCTGCGTAGAAACACTCCTCTTGTCGTCCCTTCTTCTTGGTCTTCTAAGTCTTCGGTGCCGACCGAATACTATCTCCGAGGGGGAGGGGAGGGTATCTGCAAAGGCACTCCGACGATCAAGTGAGTATTCGGTATGGAGCAATAAGTGCTTTTATATGGAATAAAATCGTACCTCATTTATGTCCCATCACCTGTGTATTTATAGTGACATGTTTGGGCCTGGTGGGCCTTCTGTCTTGGGAGATGGGTAATATTTTAATTAACCTTAATCTCCTCTTAATTAGGCATGGTAATTATTGCATAATAGGTATCTAATTTGCCACGTGTTCTTCGTGAGCTGTTCTTTGTTGAAGTCTTCGGCTAGGCAAAAGGTAAGAGAAGTGATTGAAGTTCTTCTCCTAAGCTTCACCAATGCACGGATCTTCTTCAATGGAGACTTGAGGACCGAATGTTTGAACTCTTGAATGGAGAGGATTCTCGGATGGAATGAGGCTAAGCCTAGGATGGAAGCATCCAAGCTTAAAGATCAAGGGAAAGCTCACTTCAAAAAGGAGGAAAACCTAGTTAGGGTTCCTAAAAGTGAAGGCTCTCTCTCACAATGACTCTTGAAGAAATTTGGCAGAAAATGTGCTCTCAAATTTCATATATCAAAAGTATCTACAATGAGTGAAGGAGGGGCTTTAAATTGAATCCGGAATGGGTCACACTTGGCGCCAATGTGAAGGTTTCACATGTGGCGCCAAGTTTTGAATTCAAATTTTGAATTTGAATTCAAAACTTAACTCACATGCTAAGTCCGGTCACACTTAGTGCTAGGTGCATTTAGGTTGGATTTAGTATGCATTTAGGGTTGAATTTTGAGTCACACATGTTCAACCAAGGTGGCGCCAACAATGTGACTCAAAATGCAACTTAAATGCATCCTAAATTAAACCTAGTTTACCCTAATTCAATTAATCTAATAAACCTCCTTAAATCCTAATCTATTGACCTAAATACATTGGTTAAGAAAATACAATGAATAGGAAAAATTACAAGAAAGAGAATGAGCCCAATATTGGGTATCAAAAGCCCAAAGCCCAAGAAGCCCAAATACAAGCCCAAAAATCATAAACCCTAATCTATGGTCAAAATACAAGACCAAAACAAAGTAACTTCCTATTCTAAGAATGTAAAATAAAACATGGTGTTTAATCAAGTAAAGTCCAAGTGAGAAGCACCCTAGGCCTACCAAGCCCATTGGGCCCACTAAGCTCTAAAGCTGACAAGTCTTCAAGTAGTCTCCTGGCCATAGCTCTAGTGGTTGGACCCTTGGTCCATGCTCTTCCATCATTATGTCCCTGAAATATCCTACGGGTCATTCTTTTCCTTTGTAGACAAAACATTACACAACTTTGAGTCTTGACTTAGATTGAAAGAATTGTGCCCATGGTTGAACCTGAGATGGCCTTTTGGTGCACCAATCATGAAGGAAAGTGTGTGAGATGTTTCATCATAGCCTAGCTCAATGGCGATCCTTGTTTAACGAACATATTTATTTTCATACCAAAGTTTTTTAATAACATCCATGGTTTGAACATTCAGATGATGTGGATAATATAGATTAGGGGGCTTCACCTCCAACATTTCCTCAGTGTAAGGGTAAAAACAATATTTTAGCCTTCTCTATTGTAGAGACTTAAGTACTCTTCCATGTTGAAGTAACTTGGTCGTCGAGGTGGATTGCTCACTAGGATGAAGTTTGGGCTATCTTCCTCATTTGTGAACTATTCTATGAACTATTTTAGATCTTTAGAAGCAAAACTTGTTACATCATGCGCTTGAATAAGTGGAACAGTCTATCCATAGTCTTCTAGATTTCTTGGGTCTAACTTCACTAGTGATGTGGAAAAATTTAGTGGTTCAACATCAATTTCACTAGAATTAGCAAAGGATGGTGCATTGTCATTAGTTGTTCCAACTGATGTTCCATTAGTCTATTCCTCAATTTGCAAGATTGCTCTAGTGCCTATATTATCCCCAACATTTTCCAAAGACAAAACAATAATTTCATTAGTTAGTGCAAATGGTGGTAGAACTTCTTAGACTTGTGGGGGGAGCTGAAGAGACTTCAACAACAACAAATGCTCCAATTTATGTTGGTTGTAAAGTCGGAGGGAGAGGGAACATAGGATACATGGCTAAGATAACCTTCTTGGAGAGAGGATGTTGAGTTTCCCTCACTATTCAAGGATGTTGCATATCATACATCACCTTGGAGAATGTCTTAGGTACATATAAGAGTCTCAGCGTCTACTGGTCAACCCTCATACCTAAAAGACACATGGTCAAAACCCTAAAATGAAGTGGGCCTCCTTCTCATCTGTCTGGCCCAAAAAAGACTAAAACAAGGTAAATAAAAATGTAAGTATGTGGCTTATGTGGTGCTGATGTGGCAAGTTGGTGCTGACATGGCGCTTACCTGGCACTTTATCTCTTGAAGTCCAAAAATAATATCCAAGCCTGAGAATGCTCCACAATTAACCTGAAAATAATTGATAAGCAAAAATTAGACCAAGTGAATCAGAATTAATTAAAATTTGAATTACTGGCCCAATGAAGCCCAAATACTGAAACTGTACAATTAATAAGCGATTAAGCCCAAATCAACAATTAAAATAAGTACAAAAAGATAAATAAATAAGGGAAAATAATGACTTATCAAATTCCCCCATACTTAGCTTTTTGCACTCCTGGGAAAAATCATGAAGCAGAGCAATGGATAAATCCAGAACAACAAAGAGAGCCACATGGAGAAGGACAAAAACAAAAATAGCAACACACAAACAACAACAGCAACACACAAACAACAGAGTCATATACTCCTCAATGAATCCTGAGAAAAGAGAGGAATAGAAAACATGCAAAACACAAAGAGCCAAAGAAACAAGATGCCTATGAACATCATCCAAGTATTTCTAAACATGGCAAGAAAATCAATTAGTTAAAGAGGTGACTCAAAAGCAATAGAACCTCACAAGATATGCACTGTATCACTGAATCTCTCAAGTGTCTAGACTACTGTATACTCTCGAAGCACTCATGAAACGGTTTTGGTTTCAGAACTCGGCCAATTCTTCCATCTGCATGTACTTTGTGGCTCTTTGTCTAAGATTATCCAAGTCTCTGGGTGGCTTTTTGCATAAGCTATTTACAAAAGGACCCAGCCTCAGTGCCGTGGTGAGGTGGTGCATGGCTACCGCGGGGTCCAGATCTCGGATGGACAAGGTCATTTTCCCGAACCTTTCCATGAATGTTCTGAGGGGTTCCTTCTTTTCTTGACGGATGTTGACTAACGCGATTGAGGTGAGTTGTTGAGGGCGGCTCGTGGCGAATTGTATCACGAAACGGGATGACAAGGTTGTGAATGAATCAACCGATCCGGGAGGGAGCCTCGTGAACCAATTGAGTGCTGATCCTTTCAACGAAGTAGGGAAGACTTTACACATGATTGCATCGTCATCGGTGTACAGACTGACCTGGGTGACGAACGCGTCAAGGTGTTCCTCTGGATCGGCAGTACCGCCATACTTCTCCAGGGCCAAGTTTTTCCAATTGTCGGGTAAACGGGCTCCGGCAATGTCCGGGGTGAATGGAGTCCTCCCTTGTCGGCGTTGCTGATCGAGAGTAGTAGTTGTCACTCCTGTTGGGGGCTTAGGATCCCTCGTTTCTTTGTACCATCCTGACAAATCCCCATGATCTCGGGTGGATTATGTATTGGGGATGTCATGAGATGGATGCCACGACCGGTTGTCACTTCTGAGCTCGGCAGTTTCCTTTCTCAAGACCGACAACTCGTGGGCATCCTTTTCTTGGAGCCTTTTGAGTTCCATCATTTCGGCCTTTAGTTGCTCGATGGCCGACGACGGGTTAAGTTGTTGAGACCGGTCCACATACGATTCTTCCATTCCATCCTCATTCTGATTAGTTTGTCGCCTGGTGGTGTCTCGGGGCATCCCGAAAGGGTAATCGGTTGCGTTCTCCTGTTGACTCCTTGTGGTTACCATCTTGCTTCAGGGTCGAGAACCGTTCTGGTTTCGGCCCCACGGTGGGCGCCAAAATGTTCCTGCGTAGAAACACTCCTCTTGTCGTCCCTTCTTCTTGGTCTTCTAAGTCTTCGGTGCCGACCGAATACTATCTCCGAGGGGGAGGGGAGGGTATCTGCAAAGGCACTCCGACGATCAAGTGAGTATTCGGTATGGAGCAATAAGTGCTTTTATATGGAATAAAATTTAAGAAAATTTACGAAAATGCCATTGATAAATAAATAATTAAAAAATGGGTATTACAACTCCAACTCCAACTCTCTTTTCCTTTTAGTAGCAGACGCTTGAAGTGCTTCCTATAAGAGCCTCTCCTACTCAACGACTAGGTTGGCTTTCTTCTGTTGCGTCTTCATCTCTTCTTGTAGTGAGAGACACTTACCACATTTTCAACCTAGCTTTTCCCAAAGCTTCATCTTGGGCATAAGAAGCACATGCACTAGATGTCATCTTTTGGATTTTGGAGGTTAGGGAGCTTCTATGGTGGTTTCTAGTGGTTGAGATGGAATGGCTTGTGGTCGAAAGAGACGAAAGAAAATAGGCTTATCTTTATAGTTTAATGATGAGTCATGGATAGTGATGAAAGATGGTGTTTGGTGAGCTGTAGTGGCTTTTGTTTTCTCTTTTGGAGGGAATGTAGGTGTTTGGGTTGGTGGTGTTGGTAAGGCCTTTTGTAGAGGTAGTGTTTGGACATATTGGGTAGTGGAAAGGCCATATAAAGAGAATTGGCTTATAGTAGGTTGTTTGATTATGTGCTTAAGACTTTCTTCTACTTTCATCTTCAAACTCTTCCTTTTTAGACCAGTAGGAGATGAGTTATCCCTATAGAAAAAAGGTAGGCGGTGTCAATGTCGATAGCCTTAATGACTTTTGTGAAAAGCATCCCAAAGTAATGAGTGCTCCTTTGGTTTTATCATGGTCTTTTTAGTTGAGACATGACTTTTAGTGGTTGAACACTAAACATGACAAGTTTAGTGCAACCCCCAAACACAAGTTGTATATGCAAAAATGATCTACGTCAGAATATTATCCTTGGAACCAAATCGAGGGATGAACATGTTGAAAAGTAGGTCGTGTATCAACCTACATAACGAAATCATGTTGGCAATGCAGAAGAACTTCTTCTACTCCACCTTCTCCTTTGGACGCTTGGAACTATAGAGCATGGCATCCATACTCTCCTTCAAGATGACCTTTTCCCATCTTCTGAGTATGTTAGGCCAACCTCCTTGCAACTAAAAGGAATCTTAATTTGGTTCAAAGTGATTCTAATTGCTTGGCTACCACATTGACTACAATGGTGTTGTCCTCCACCATTGTGCTTGCCTAAAAGTAGGCATATGGTGTGTAGTGCCAGTTGCACCCCAGTTCAGCAAAGTTGAACCATCCAACTTTGTTAGAGTAGTGCTTCACTGGAAAGCCTTTGTCAACAAGCTTGTTGAGGTTGACATATTTTTTAGGGAGGAAGTAGGATTCAAGGAACTCCACCATTGAGACCTTCGTTCTGGGAGTAGCTTGTTTTGATGTTATTTTAATGTAGGAAGGTAGGAGGCTTATGAGGAAGAGGTTTAGGGTTCTTTAAGGGAGCCTGAGAGAATAAAGTACAAGAGGTTTTCATATATGTGGTTGGTAAGGTGAAAAGGTGTGGAGAGAGAAAAGATATGTCATTATTAATTTCTAATTCAACAATGGCTATGACCATTTCACTATTCCACACATACTTTATCCAAAACCCCATTTTGTAATCATTAAAAAGAATTTATTGCAAGAGATACCTTTTTGTATGGAAGATGCTACGTTAGTGTTAATGTAACAATAAAATAATATTCATGATAGATTAATGAAATGAAAGACGGAACATGTAAAGATGATACATGTATGCTTAAGATACATGACAAATGATGCACAAAAATTAAAACATTTAAGACGGTGCAAGTACAATACTTAATCTAAGATGCATTTCAATTTAAGATGACTTCTAATCAATCTAAAGTGTTATTCAGTTAAAACTAGTAAAGATATCAGTCCATTAATGATTAGAATTAATAAATTTTATGTTGGAAACTCATTTTTTGTACATAATCTTGAATGATGTGATATCTTATCTTAATGTGCTTAGCTTTAGAATGTTGTATGGGATTTTTAGACAAATTGATAGCACTAGTATTACCACAATATACAGGTATGTTACATTTAAAACTATAATAGTCTTCTAATTGATACTTCACCCATAATAGTTGTGAACAAAAACTAGCGATAGAGATATATTCAGCTTTTGAAGTAAAAAACGTTATGGAGTTTCGCCTATTGCTTGCCCAAGAGACGAGGCAAGAACCCAAAAAATGATATCATCCACTTGTGTTTTTTTCTTTCAACTCTATCACCAGCATAATTTACATCACAATAACTTGCTAACCTGAAATCTTTGTTTTTCTCATAGAATTGACTTATGTTAATAGTTCCACCAAGATATCTAAAATCATCTTTTACTACTTTAAGATGAGACTCTATAAGGTCAGATTGAAAACATGCAAATAAACATACATTGTATATGATGTTAGGTCTACTAACAATGAGATACAAGAGTGAACCAATCATACATTTGTAAATCGTTTGATTTATTATTTTACTTGATTCATCTTTTGATAGACCTATGGACAAATGCATAATTGTTGACATAGGTTTGTAGTCATTCATCTTGAACTTTGTTAAGAGTTCTTTTGTATATTTTTTCTGATGAAGGAATATGCCTTTATTTGTTTGCTTGATTTGTAATCCCAAAAAGAACTTAAGTTCACCCATCATACTCATTTCAAACTCTATCTGCATTAGCTTAGAAATATCCTCACACGGAGATTTATTAGTAGCACCAAAGATAATATCATCAACATAAATTTGAACTACTATACAATCTATACTAGTCTCTTTTTTAAAATGAGTTGTGTCAGCTATGTCTCTCATAAAGCCATTGTTGATTAGGAAATTGTTTAATGTAACAGCCCAATTTTCACTAGGCCTTGGGCCCAATTCGTTGCCTGGAACGGGCCGTTTCAAAAGTGAATTAGGGGGGGGTGTTCGGCTTGCTCTGGGGATGAAGAGGTATTTGGCCTGGCCTGACACCGAAAGGGTTTTTGGCTTGTCATCGGTGGTAGTTGGTGTTCGGCCTACCCCAAGGCCGAGGAGGTGTTCGTCCTACCCC